AAAGTTGAATGGGATCAGTCACCATGGGAGGGGAATGGGAGGGGAATGGAGATGGAGGCAGATGGAGAGTGAAGAGAGAGGGCAAACGCGAAGTCAAGTATCGCGACATGGCAGGGACAGGGAGACAGATGGCAGATGGGACAAGAATGGGATGGATTCAGTGAGAGAGAGAGAGAGAGCAAAAAAGAAAAAGAAAAAGAAAAAGATGTACTGGGCGGATTGCTCGAAGTACAGACTGCGCAGTGCATACAAAGTACATTGTACAGTAAGTACTTACCAGGGTTGGTTGGTGGCTTTAAGCTACAGCCCGGTACACCGCAGGGAGGCCATACATTCACGTATATAATATAATATACCTAGAAGCGGACTGAGGGCGCAGAGAGGAATAGACGCTCTATCAGTATGGGTAGGTATGGACCTCTCTTACCGATTAACCTCCCAGTCAGTGCCAGTACCTTAAGCTGTGCTGTGTGTATGGGCTAGGACCGCCGATGCTCCCCTAGCTGTCCGTGGATTGCCCGCTGGATAGAACAGTGTGCTCTGGACAAGCAGACAGACCATGGATACTGGATGGGGTGGGAAGCGCAATTCTGACGCCAAACACGTGTGGATGAAGCGTGAAGATGAGAGATGAGGAAGAGAGGAAGAGAGGAAGAGAGGAAGAGAGGAAGAGAGGATGAGAGGAAGAGAGCTGGAAGGTTGAAAGTTGTAACTTAATATCCCACATCCGCTGTGAATTACGGACCACGAATACAGAGGTGCTTTCAATTATTCCGACAATAAATAATTCATATCTGTGCGAGATGTTAAACGTGTCGTCTCTGTTATTCTCCTTCTTCTTCTTCTTCTTCTTCTTCTTCTTCCTCCTATTATTGTTGTTACTGTTGTGAGTTCTATATATAAAAAAAAAATATTAAAAAAAAGGGATTGTCAGTCTCTCCCCCCAATCAACAAACATGACGTTTGCCAGTTAACGCACAAAATCGCCTAGTTCTAGTAACGTTAACTTAACTAGTCTAGTCTAGTGGGATTGAATCCGTCCGCGTTTTCCAGCCAGGCCTAGCTCCCTCTTGGCGAGATCTACGCAGCAAATATCATTATATCATCCATTATTATTATTATTATTGTTGTTGTTGTTGTTGTTGTTGTTGTTGTTGTTGTTGTTGCTTCGGATGAAGATGTTGGTGATTACTACACCTACCCTAGTCACGTGCCACCCCAACCTATTCATTTAGTGTAACTCGCGTAGTTAGATTACAACACAACAACATTATTCTTCAAGAGGTTATGAAGCCCTTCGCAAGCAACAAATAACCGCAACAACATGCTAAATTGACATCTTCACATATCATTACGCGTGCCTAGATGTCTTTTATTGATTAATTGAATCCATGGTGAACCTGAGATCAGGTGAAAAGCCTGACTTAACAAAGAATTACATGCCAATGTGTAGAAGAAGAAATCCATAAATGTCTGAAGCATAAGAAGAATTGAGTGTGGATTTATCAACATCTGCAATGAATTGAAAAGTGACTGTCTCAGAAGCATTTGAGCTGAATGAAATCATTACAGAGAAACAGTCTGATGAGTTCAATAAATATAAAGATCTGATTGAAGGCATCAGTGAGATGTCAGACAATGCAGAGAGCTTAAGTGACTAGAACAACAATGACTCAGTGAGTGAGAAGACTCATATGAGACTTGAAATTGCAAGACTTCAGTATGAGGTTGAGTGTATGAAGATCAGTAGAAGTGAGACTCTTGTAAGTGATAAGATGAGAGCAGATCTGACAGAATATCTTTAATAAAAAGAGAAAACATCTGTTATAATGAAAGTTCTTGAAGAATTCAGAAGCTAAGTAAGACTTATCAAAAGACTGATAGTTCTCACTGAATTCATTAACTACTCAATGTAAAGAGAGGAAATTCTTTTAACTGCAGAGCAGTCTGAAACTGATGATATTCTTAAAGATAATAATTTTAGTGAGAATGTCACTATGAATATATAACATTTCTGAAAAGAACACAATCTTTGATTATATAATTATATATGATCTGCAATTACTCTGCAGACTAAGACTTATTTTACTATACTCAAGAAGTTTAAATTATCAGCTTATACTCTATAAACTATTATAGAGAATAACTTTTTCAAGAGATCTGCTATACACAGAACTCATTTATTTGAAGAGTTTATTAAAATAATCTTCAAAAGTAAAGAATCTGACAGAGCTTTTATTAAATAATTAATTATTATCAGAACTGATTATATTCATCTGAGATATAAGATTGAAGATGTTGTATTTTTCAATAGATTACTGACAGAAGTCAATAGAGATTGAGTATTCTTTATAAAGAATAGAATGAATCAGATTGATAAGAACAATTCAAGATCTTTAGAAGAAGACTTTATAAGATTATACTGTGACATACTTCTATGCCTTTCTACTGTGGAAAATAGTAGTACTGAATTCATGAAAAATCCTGTGAATAATACTCAAGACAAGGATAAGAAAGGCAAGGACAAAGACAATAATAAGAATAAGAACACTGAATTCAAACCTGAATGTAGAGATAATAATGCAAGAACCTGCTATTATTGTTAAAAGATTGATTATATTCAGACTGACTATTGAAAGAAATACTCTGAGAAATGTTCTTCAAACTTTAATATGAATAGAAACAAGAATAAAGACAAGAATGCAGAGAATACAGATACTGCTCCTGTTCACAACATTATAGAGTAAGTATTTTGTATTAAAGAAAAGACCTATGTAAGTGATCAGACAGAAAAAGATATCTGAATTCTAGACTCTGAATCAGATACTCATGTCACACTTCACAGAGATCTTGTTATGACAAAGTCTCAGAAGGTGAAAGTGATATTGAAAATGACAGACAGAATGATAGTCTCTGCTGCAGCTATAGAAGATATGAAGATTTCAGTGAAAGAGATGAATATGCTGTTAAATGATGTCTGCTATATCTTAAAATTGAAAGTGAATCTTATGAGCATGAATAAGCTTATATATCAAGATTATATCTTCAAATAACTGACATATGAAAATAATCATGTCATATTACTTATGTCTTCTGATAGAATGTTCTCATTTACTGCAAGATTGAATGATAGAAATATCTATGAGATAGAAAAGTCAGTTATATATAGAGACTTGATCTGATTTACTATACTCAATGATGATTTTGAACCTGTGAATACACTGCAGACAAAGAATAATGACATAATATAGTACTATCTGAAAGAAATGATATAAAGGTTATAGAACTTATGATGATGCAATGATATTAAAAGCTAGAACATCTGAATTTCATGAATATTGCAAAAATGACAGCAGATTCATGACTAGAAATGAGAATAAGAGATGACAGAGCTTTGTCATTCTGCAAGACCTGTGTACCGATAAAAATGACACATTCAACATTTACATCAATGATAAGAACTATCAAACCTGTAATGAGATTCTTCATAAATCTTACAGATGATGACTGTATACTATATAATAAAGTCAATCTCTCTACTCAAGAAGAAGCTAATTATTGAATGAGTATTACAGACAATGCTATATGCTATAGGTGAATTATTCTTATAATATCAAAGAATGAGATCACTGTGTATTTGATGACCTTTATTGATGAAATTGAGATCACTACTTAACATCAAATTGGAACTCTACACTGAGATGATGAAGAAGAGTTCAAAAGTCAAGAACTTAAGACCTACTGCTAGAGCAAAGAAATAGTGTATGAAATGACTATATCTGATACATCACAATTAAATGACTCAGTGAAACATGTGAATTGAATAGTTGCAGAGAAGACAAGAAGCTTGCTATTTAATAGTGAACTGATGAAAGAGCTCTGAGATGAGGTAATACAAGCTGCAGTCATGATGATTAACACATTCTCAACATTAATGAAGATATTTGAATACAAGGAAGAAATATCACTTATATCTTTTAAAGTGTGAACTGAGATGCAATCTTCTGTTCATTGAATACAGAGATGAGAGTGCAAGGTTTATAAGAAGGATTTGAAAGTGTTGAATAAGCTCACAGATAGAACTGATGACAGAGAATGACAGCTAATTGAATATCAAGAATTATATCAATATTGTGTGTGAAATCCTGTTGCACATTGTCTTGAGATTGCATGAGATGTTATATTTAATGAAGCTCTTGACATGAGTGTAAATACATCTGTAAACACAGTGAGAGAATTCAATGAATTATCTAATGAATTGAACATTCTGAATGTCAGAGAGAAATGACAGCACTGCTTACTATAACATCTAGTGAAGAAAAAGTCAGATGTTTTGAAGATAATTGTCAATGAGAACTTAGAGAGTGCAATTGATTCAATCTATCTTCTAGATAATAAGACACAGCTTATCATGAATAAAGAGTCTGAAGACTCTGTTAATAAGAATGATTCTGT